GCCTAGTGCAAAACCTTTTTTTTAAATGGGTTGTATTTGCATGAGAATAAAAAAATCATTTTATATCAATGGCTTTGCGCTTAACCTGGCTTTAAGCTAGAGACTTGGGGTAACTCGGAAATATTTTATTCACCTGAAATGTTGGTGGCGTGTTGTTTCTTGACTGTCATGTAGCTCTAGTTTTCAAAGCCATAGGAGACTTGCACTTCAACAAACCAAACATCACAAATATTTGGTGAAGAGCACGCGAGGTCAAATTTTGTTTTATTTTCAAACAGGAGTGGACGAATTTCCAAGGACGATCTGAAAAACGTTCTCCGAAGACTCTCCATCAGTATGGATACAGTTACGTTTGAAAATCTCACCAAAATGTGAGTGAAAAGCGATCTTTCCTTGTGTCAGTGTTTCTTAAGTTACTGAAGTTTCGCCTTGTGATATTTTTCGATTAGCAAAATTTAAGCAAAGTGTTCTTACCTCCATGACTATATGAATTTCATACATTTGAACCACGAAGTAAAGGAATAAATACAAAGATCATCATCATTTAATAGTCATCTCCAGTTTGGCTTGCTAGTTTAATTTGTTAGAGCGCTTTACCAGGATCACAGAGGTTAGTGTTTGAGTCCCGGCAATTTTCAGGCTTTCTTTTTGCAACTGCCTAAGTTACGTATTTAACTGTGATGAACCTCTTTGCGTTTATTTGTTCTTGCCTCTGTCAGTGAACATGCCGATAAGCGAGTATTTCATTCATATGATACGAAAGCCGAATTCAATAACTGTTTTATTATTCATTCAAAATAATTCCTAGTTTAAAAACATAGCTAAAACATGCTTACCTCCATCGATCCATCGATGTTCAGTTCATCTTCGATAGTGTACGTTTAGGTTTGTCCAGCTCCGCAAATATTCTCTAAGCAGCAGATGTCGCCCCTCGAGTTGTTTTCTTGCTGTTCTTGCCTTGTTTTTAGCTATTTTTTCGCCTAGTTCTTACTCTTGAAACGAGTGAAATGTCCGCCATTTTTCAAGTTCACAACCAAAACAACTCAACCTCGTGCCCAGGTCTTCTTGGTTAACGGTGCCTTAACCTGCGAAAACGCTGCATTTTTGATGTCATTTCCTCGTTAAAGTCAAAATTCCTCCAAATTTGGTCATCAGTAACTGGTTATGGTGAATTAAACGTGTGCTTTTAGCCAATCAGAATCGGGGAAATATTTTGAATGAATAATAACATCCATTAAAAGTGAAAGCATTTGTTTGCTTGGCAGTGGTGTTTTATGTGTCACTTACTTTTTCCCGCTCTTTTCGCCGAGTTCTTAAGACTAAGAAGAAAGTTATTTATCCAGCCAATCTGAATACGCGTACAGCATCAAATGTACCAATCGCATTTCGAGGCAACTAACTGTAGCCGGCTCCTAGCGCGGAAAAACCTATGCCAGCAAGTCAAGAATTTTCATGTTTGGCGAGATTTTTCGACCAATTAGAGAGCAATAGTTAGACATATTATTTTAAAGTGACTGCCTGTTTTTTTCTTCAGGTGCGATAAAAATAACTCAGGCTACATCGACTACAAAGAATTTGCAAAACACCTAACGAAAGATGCACCCCTTACTAAAGGAGGAAAAGCATCGACTTTATCAGTGATGAAAGCAGACTACTGCCCCCCAGAACAACGAAGGTAACTTTGATTTTGTTTACAAAAAAAAACATAACATAGGTCACAGTTAAGTAGGACGCCCAGCGTTGGTTTGTAGGAGACTAGCCTGCAAATACAGACGCGTCTCTCCTCGGTCCACGTCGCTTTGGACGTTCGGCGAAACGTCTCTAGTGGAGAGGAGCGAGGAGAGTTGGCTATTAAGAGACGAAACTTGTGGTGTTAAAGGAAAATGTTATGGAATCATTGTATTGAGTTGTTGGTTACGTCAAGGGACAGTAAGAAAGCAAACAACTCAGTATTTGCGTTGCCAGTATTTGCTTATACCAGTTGTTTTACAGAAGTATTTTTTTATCGTTTTCATGTCAGATTCACGTCTGCTCAGCAGCGCACGATAGAAGTGTCGAAAAAGGTTGTACCTCTATCCGTAAGCTCACACTACTTCCACAAACATCAGTCGGGAGGTATGTACTAAAATATTCCTCATATTTTCCTTCCGTATGACCTTACTGCGTTTATTTCTCGTTGAATCAGATCTTTTGCTTAACAGTCAGTCAATCAGCGTCACGACACGGTCAAGTTAATTCAGGCCACCCGTAAAGGATTCAAAAGCTGGCACTTAAATCGGTTCAGGTTGCCTAAGCGATTCCATTTCCAAACCACTTTATGGAACCAGCTCGCCCTATCAACAAAAATCGGTTAAAACCACATTTTCGTGCTTCACAAGTGGGGATAAACCTTCCTATTTTGATTAAAATGTCACTACTAAGTCAATATAAATGACTGTGTACACGAATTTGACGTCAAAACGGACGGTTGACGGTTCGTGTTAATTAAAGAACTGATTTACCAATAAAAGGCCGTCGACGCTTAGAGAATTGTAAAGTCATTCCAACATCATCTAATTATTGTCCTTTTCTGCAGCACCTCGCCTTTCAACAACTGCACAGGACTTTGTTAGGCCAGACAGAATACCAGGTACATACTCTTACACTAACATAGACCTACAAAAGAAAGTTATGCCAGGAAACGTTAAATTTCAAAAGAGCCACGCCCAGCTCAAACAGTAAAAACCCCGCACGTAATAACCTAGTTTTTGACAGCCTATTAGGCTAATAGTGGCCAGTTAAAGCCCCTTCATATAAGAACCTGTTTACTACTTTAGCTTTAATTTTGAGACAGATTCCTTATTTTATAGTGATTTGCAAACTTTCATTTATGCTAGTCGACTTAAAGTCTCCGTTATCAATACAGGCGCATTGAGCTACGACAAACTTTTCGTCATGCGTGGTTTTAGCATGTTTTACATAGTTTAGTCACGTCTTTTTTTTTCTGCATAGGAACTCCTCGACTCTTTGTACAGTAAAATGGACATCCCTTAAAACATCACGGGTGGATTGTTACTGTTTTAAAAGCACACCACTTGGATACTGCGAAAATTTGGAGGAAGGAAGCAGAAAACAACCTCAGAATTGAGCAATCAAAAGGCAGTGAAGTACACTTCGGCTACAACTACTAGCTACAAGTACTAGTCGTAAGATTCAGACTAAGCCCTGAAGCTTTGTGTTAGAGTACCACCAATTAACAGTGAAAAGGCATGGCGTCTTGTCCGTAGAACACTAAAAATGATGTAGGGAACAGATTATAAAAACTGATATTTTCTTGGTAAAAAGTGGTATTTATTTTTATATTGAATGGGATGTATGGTTCTGCAAAGGACGAGGTTATCGTGGTGAGAGTTAAATGGAAGAATTGAGAATAAAGGAATCGATCTCTGGTAACAAAGTGTCATGATACTTAGGGCCTGTTTCATATAATCTCTCATTTAAATTTGATCACGTTTACATGATAGGTGGGGTGCCCCGCCACATGTTACCTCACCTGTCTGGGGTCCCCCACCTCCATGTAAACAGGCCCTTAAAAATTAAATAGAGGATGTTACACGGTGGCGCGAAGATATGAATTTTATTTTCAAGTGGCAAAACAACATTTTACGAACGAGCGCAGCAAGTGAGTAAAATATTGTTCTTGCCACGAGAAAGTAAAATTCATAACTTCAAGCCGCCGTGTAATGTTCTTTTTATTATATAGACAAAATGACATCGATAAAATAATAGAGGGAAATTACCAAAATTACGTCATCGATAAACTCACGTGTGAGATTATGGAAAATAAACCACTCGGGTCCCGGATGTAGTTTTCATCAATTTTACGAGTGGTATATTTTCCAGTAAAACACTCGTGTCTATATAATAAATCCTACTGTTTCACTTCAATGTCTGAGCTCAATGCTGGTTATAAAACAATGGAAAGGTGTATTTTAAAAACATATAATGCGTTTTCGGGGAGGAAAATACAGCGGAACCCCGATATAACGTTATGCCAAGTGAGCAGCAAAATTATATCGTTATATCGGGAAATAGTTATATCGAAACTCCCGATATAACGATATGGCCGTAAAATTACCGAAAATAACGTTTTATCTGAGTAAACCTAACATGTACTTTTTACTACGTTAAATTCTGTCTTAACATGAATGTCACAACGTTCTCAATCCTCTATCTTCCTACGGATTATTTAAAATTGCCGAGTGTAAAACAATCTTCAATATCGAAACGTCTTTTTCTATATATTTCACGCTTTTATCATTCATTATCTTCATCTTTATTCATAATAAATAGTCTAAAACTGTTTAACCGTGTGGCTTTAGCCTACAGTATATTAAGAAAAACGCCGTAAAAAGAACTTATTAATTGCAAAAAGGAAAAGTGTATAAAAAGATCCGCAAAATGTTTCGTGACAATTTTTGACTGCCCTTTACATGAATCATTTATTGGTTCTCCTAATGACGTCGTAAGCCAACCATTATCAAGAGAGAATAGAGACCGTTTTCACTCACATCTATGCCAATCTATTACAGCGAAAGAAATTCTTAAGCGTTTACGTAAAAAAGAATTCAACTTCTCGAGTCTCTAGAGGATTTTCTTGCTACATCAAACAAAAAAAAGGTACACCAATATAACCGCCGTTTCATTGTTTTGGAACACCAAGATTAGAAGGTCGCCGTGACGTCATGTGCAAACGCTCTGTAAATCACGTGCAAAAAACAGCCCACCATCTGCAAGAAACATAAGTGGTTATTGTTCCTAAACAGAAATACGATCAAAATTCTTCTGTCATCTGAAGATAAATCATAACCTCTAGATTCAGTTCCGACTCCATTGGTCTACAACATTACCGACATCAATCCATAAATTTGCTCTTTCGGCAAAAAAGGATCAAAACATGCCAACTATACTACTCTAAACTGTTTATGCCTGCTTAGTTGACAAGTAAATCATTGGAGTTTTCAAACAGCAGTGGTTTTGACACTTTTGTATCCCACACTTTTTACGACGAGGTCATTAGATTCCAGCTCGTTTTCACAGGTTTCACAGTTGTATTGTAACAATTCCATCTTTTCTCTTGGTTGAGCTTTATCTGACACCCTCTTACAGCAGCACGATAAAATTCTCCTCCAGCTGAACTGTCCCCAGTCACCTTGTGGTCCAATAGTACAGCAAAGAGCCTGGAAGAAGAAAGTCGAAAAGGCCCACCCGAGGGTCATAACTAACATCAGAAAATGGCCCATTTGCAAATAGGACAGCACTCTTGAAGGCATCATCATTGCACCTGAGAAGAGAACATTAATGCTTAAGTAATGTCTCCTTGTTAAGTGAAGACAGGGGAGATCGAGTTGACTGAAAGTCTCAAAAAAAAGTAGCCGGCCTTCTACCTTGAACCTGTGGTGTCTTCTGCAAGCCTTTCCGGTTTAACGTATTTCTAGTTTATTTATCGAATCACAGCAGAGCTATAATCATATAATCATACCTCAGACGTTGAGTAACAGACGCGCAATTTGAAATCGCTAACAGCAATCACGGTCGCAAGGAAGATGTATCGGATAAAGGTTTCGATCTTTTATCGCGTTATAAACAAAGCCTAGTGCTGAAAAAACGTCTTCAGCTATCCTTGTAATCTTGACAATAAGCTACGCGTTAAAAGATTAGTCGAAAACCGTAAGTAATATTTACCTGCGATGAAAGTTGTGACTGCTGCCATGGTAATAGCGGATCCCATCCGGGACAGAGAGAACCGTACACGTGCCTTCCTGCACTCCTTATTAGGAGCCAAACAATAGGCTACCCCAAAATGCATTGCGAAGTCAATTGAGACGCCCACTGCGACGGACATGGTTATGGACTCCAAGATATTAAGCTTCCAACCACTCAGAACAAGCGCGCCGGTCGTTACAGAAATAATACCGATAATTGTCAGGATGGCGTACACGCTGACAAGGACGTTTAACGTAGTTAACAACATTACAGCAAACGCCATAGCGATGGCAATTGCCATGGAAACGAGCGTTCCAGAGGATAGACTTTTCTGCAGATCGTAAAATTCTAAGTTACTTGTCCACCATGCTCTTTTCATACCATCAGGAGCGGTACTTGTTTCTCTCTTTAACCAAGACTCAATGCGCTCATAGAATTGGTGCGCAGGCTGGTAAGCACGAGAGAGAGGCACGTTACTATAAATGCTCATATGCACTCCCTTGATATTGCCCTGCTTGTCATAAATGAAGCTTCCTATGGTCGAGTCATGCCGCTTGAATTTTAATAGATGTGCGCGGACACTAGCCTTGACGGCGCACAAGTCCAACACGGTCTTGTTAAATGGAAACGGCATATCTCTGCAGCAAGGGTAATAGGAAATGTTTGGTGTCAGAGGATCATGACAGCTTTGGTTGTAGTACTTTTCAAGGAAACAATAGCTTGCTTCTCCTTCTTTTTTTGCATAAAAGCCCTGCCTGCGTAATCTTCTACAGAATCCCAGAAGCCATTTTTGGGACTCGCTCTTTGTAACATTAAAAGATTTGTCCCATTCAAGGGTGCCGTAATCATATGGATTTAGTTGGTTTCCATTATCAATTGCTTTCAAGCCCCAAAATACCGCAATTAGGAAGCTGGCACTTCCATGAGAAGGGCTAGTCTCAAAGCGGAAATTTTCTTTCAGGTTGAGCTCATAAACCTCTAGGGGATGCGACGCTTCAAACATTTGGAAGTCAGATGACGTAGGTAGCCGGAAACCCGGCTTAAAGAGAAGAATTTCTAAACCACCTAAAGTCAAAACAGAAAAGAGGGCAATCCAAAAAAACCGAAATTTGATAACTATGTGAGGGAGAAACTGTTCAAAGAAATACCTAACAAAGTAACCCACGTATCGCTCGTAGAAATTTCTCATGGTTTGCCACGCGGACCCTTTATTGCAGGACCAAGGAACACACAATTTCTCGTTGATGACGGACACAGCAGGAAACCACGTGACCATCATACTAAACTTGCATAAAATGGCTATGCCTGCGTAGATACCAAAACATTTTATGGTGGTTATCTGTGAACTGAAGTTTGCTATGAAGGCGGCCGCAGTCGTGAAACTAGTGACAAACATCGACAGCGATGCATGCTTCAACGTTTCAGCGGTAATGCGCGCGAGTGTTGCACCAGGATTGTTAAGTTTCGATTGGCGCCATACGTCGCTGAACACAAATGCGTCATCGGCCCCAATTCCCACAAGAAATATAACGGTCGTGATGTTTAAAAACGGAAAGAATTTCAAGCCAAACACGACCATGTATAAGAAATAAGCGATTATTAAAGCACTGATGACAGAGAACATCAAAAGAAATGTTATCAGAACTGATTCCGTGTAAAACCACATAATAAGCAAAATTATCATCAGAGCAATTGAAGGATAAATAATGTCCGCCAATAACATTGTGTTGAACATGTCAAATTTTAGGGAGTAGAAGTCAGTGCCCACTAATTTAACGCTGCCATCCGAAACGTCGCCCTTTTTAAGGTAAGTCTCGTAGATATGATTCCTGTACGGCTTGTCTCTAATTGCTGGGATCAAAACTGAAGTGTATGTCAGTTTTTCGCCATTTGGACCCAGAAAGTGTTTATCCGTTAGGTAGTACATAATATTATGGACGGCATTATATCTGACGCATCTTAGAGGGAGAGACCTGCAAACCGGATAAACTGTTTTGTATTTAAAGTCCCAACAATTTTCTTTCAGTGAAGCATTGTTGAAAAAGGGCGCACACTGTCTTAGTAGTGAGAAAACATTCAACACGTCAGCTGAAGAAATATCTTTGCACGAAGATTTCTTCGAGAGAGCGGCAACGTAGTTACCAACAGACCAACTTGGACAACACTCCACTACCCTCCCAGTATCATATCTGGTGTTCTTTTTGAAGCAATTTAAATTAAATCCGGGTGCTTTGCGCATAAGTTTTTCCTCCATACGACAAACCGCCTTCAGGCTACGTGCGTTGAAAATGTCATGTCCAGAAATCGTTGAAGCGAAAACCATTTTGTAGCTGATTTTACTTTTCATGAAGACGTTTGGACTGTCGCACATTACTAGATGAAAGTTCTTTTTAGCATGCCTTCGTGTTCTATTCATTTTTGTTTTTGGTGTTAGAAAAATAGCGTTCACATTTGGTAAATCCATGGATATGTTGCATGTGCTGTTTAGCTCAGAGAAAGGGCTAGTGGCGACTAAACCAAGATTTGCGGCTTTTCCAAGAAGAAGACTCGTTCGATATCTTGTGTTGATCTTTGTTCCGCGCGGTTCAAATCCCTTTGGAAAATCAAAAAGGATAATAATTGATAATAATTGACATTCAGTAAGCACAAATATCTGTATAAATATGTTCGAATGCGCTAACAGGATCAAACTTTCCGAATAGAAGGCGCAGTAACTTTTACAGAAGTCTGATTTGGATGGACAATTATCTTAGTCAAAAGCTTGCCTAGTCCCTAGGCCTCACTATTCCGCGCGGCCTTTGTGTTACGGGTCACGTGGTCTGAGGGTTTGTCTCCCCGCCGTTCGAAACGTTACCAAAATGCATTGATTGAGAACCCGTACAGTGACAAGGCAAATGAAACCTTTGTTTTGGAGGGGTTAAGGTGGATTTCTATTGTCGCGTAATTATTACATGTGTACGGTACGCAGGTAGATTTTACGGGCATAAATGAAATAGAGGTAATGTATTAAAGGTCGCGCGAGAACTTAATTCAAGGTGAACCCTGCTCAACTATTACGTTCACACGTGGCCTTTTATACATAGCCTCTATTTTACTTACGCCCGTAAAAATCCCTCGCCACAATGGAAATCCACCTCTAGTCTCAAAATAAACTGTGGTATTTCTTAGGTGGGATAGTAAAATTAAAAAAAAATAGTTTTATCAAACTTNCGTAATTATTACATGTGTACGGTACGCAGGTAGATTTTACGGGCATAAATGAAATAGAGGTAATGTATTAAAGGTCGCGCGAGAACTTAATTCAAGGTGAACCCTGCTCAACTATTACGTTCACACGTGGCCTTTTATACATAGCCTCTATTTTACTTACGCCCGTAAAAATCTCGCCACAATGGAAATCCACCTCTAGTCTCAAAATAAACTGTGGTATTTCTTAGGTGGGATAGTAAAATTAAAAAAAAAATAGTTTTATCAAACTTATAGCGCTCACGGAGTCGCTGCTGAGATTAAACTTTGACATTAACTATACATATATACAGCCTCTCTTAATCTAGAAATTTTAGGCCTTTAATGTTTGCCCAAAATCCGTTTAGAAATTGGCTTTTGTGCAGAAATTAGTGAAGGTATCATTCTTACCATAACTGGGGTTGAAAAATCCGGAAAATCAGGAGCGTTAAACTGAGGGAGAAATGAAGCAAGACCGCAGATGATAATCAACACCAGCATAAAGAAAAACACAGCATAGGGATGTTCAGCCAACAGCACTGAGTACCTGGAAAAAAGTATTAAAATAGATTGATCATAAGTCACAAAATCTGGACGCGCATGCTGGGTTATCAGCTTAATAAGTTTCCGTCTCTTGTCTTAAAATATGAACAAGCTGATCACATGTTGACACTTCATGGACCATTGGGCATATCAGTATACAAATCTGCTTGCTTTGATTTTTTTTTCCAAACGTCAAATTCCTAGGATTTCCTGTTTTACACAATTGGCGGAGCAAGGTCCGACGTGTTCACACACGGGATTAGAGGTTTGGCAATGGACTAGCATCATCTTTGGACTCCACATTTTGAAGAAGATGTCATTTTTATTGAATATCTTTCTGCTGGAGGAACAAAGACTCTCTCAAAACCATTCGTACCTTGGCCATGTCGACCTCTGCGTATTTTGTTTGATTTGCACAGGGACCCCATCGTTATTGTTGTTGTTTGCTGCATCTTCAGTGGTTACTGAACTTTCTTCGTTTCTGAGGGAAGTCTCCGGCTTATACAGCTCTGGATCATCCATACTTGCTATAGTTTTTAATAAGCTTCAAAAACCGTTCATGACAACTTGCTCTTACCCTATAGTAAGTAAAAACAATTATTGTGTGTAATTTAAATGAATATGTGTGAGAGGTAGATTCGTAATGTGCACCTCCGTTAACTTGCAAGGAAGCGTAAAATTTGTTGGGCGCTTAAAAAGTACCGTTCATAATATCCTTGTACACACTAAACGGTACCGCGGAATATTTAAAGTTTTGTGTCTGTACGAGAGGTATTTTTAGTCCCGTGGCCCGAAAAGTTACCAGAAGTTTGGAGAAGAGAATTTTCGGGAGAGAAGGGCGGGCTCATTTCTGGAAAGGCAGCCTCGGATAAATATTTTGTCTGATCTTGCATGACATCGATTGTGTAAGCTGGGAAGGCCGATTGGTTACAAAAACCTCCTCGTCACTGTTTCGGATGATGTTCTTAAAGGAGTAAAGAGGAAAATAACAGGTTCAATTTCTATAGGGTTCAAGCGAAGAAAAAGAGTTTTCACTGTACACAGATTATACGTAATGGATCTTGAGTAAGACCGCTATTTTTGGACCGCTTAGCTTTATTTTCTTTACTACTTTAGCAAGCAAAAAACTTTCATAAACTTTTTACTTACAGTTATTCTTAATTTCTTTCTTTTATATGCTTGAATATTCTTGTCAAATGCTGCTATGCAGCGGATAAATCACAATATAAGTATTATAGGGAACCCAACTGCGTTACCCACGGGTAAATCATTATCCCATGGATAACGTTATCCAACTTTCGAACAACTGGGCCCAGAGTTTTAACTTTTGATAATTACACGACTTGTAAAGCTCATATGGTGTTGTATTGTTGCTTATCCCATTAAATTTCAAAGGAAGCTCAGAATGATTTTCATTACTTTTACTCCGAATTTGTTATAGAATGTTTTATGCACAAATAACTATTCTTTTTTTGACCATCACGGTCAATTTTCCGCTTTCCTTTCTATTTGCTTGAACATAGGCTTTATTAGTTCATGAGAAGTACAATGCAGCATTCTATTACCACGACAAAGGCAATTGATTTTATAGTTCGATTTTTACTATGTTTGACTCTATGCCTTTGCCGTCGATTAATTCAGACTTTCAAGGCCATTGGTAGCTGCCAGTACAATGTTAATATATAAATAAATAGTGAAAGATGCTTGTTTATCAAAAAATCCCTAAAACATACATCTGTATTTGAAAGGTAAAAAATCATTTTTTTCGGAAAATTCAGATTTTACGGTTAAAATAGAAGTTAAAAATGTTCTTTAATATTAATTACGACGGGTGCAAGATCCTGTGGTTTTCGCGTGGCTTGAGGAATTTAGCCTTTTGCAAACAAATAAAGTTTTAGCCAAAAATGTCTTTCTTAAGCAATAAGGCATATCATTTAATTATCTTCAAAAAACAATTCATGTATTTCTACAGAAATTTAACCAGGATATGATGAGCTTGTTAAGCAATGACAGGTCTTTTTGTCTTTCTAGGTGTTGCAAATTACATTGAATTTTAAAGACAAATGCATAGCTACCTGTAACAGTCGAGTTACAGGTTTATATGCGTCTCCTTTATGATTTTTACCAACCTGCTGTCATTGAGTCGTTTTTCCAATCCATTAATTAGCGTTTAATTTCTTGGATGTAGTGGCAATCACCTGATTTGAGCGAGAAAATAATATCTTTTCCCTAACCAAAACAAACATGTTTCTTGATATTGTGGAGGACTGCTTATTGCTCTTGACATTATGTTCACAAGGGTTTAAAATGCAAATTGTGTCGAGTTTAAATACATAGAAAAACCTTTTGCGATTTTGATACAAACACTGTTCGTTTTTATTATAATGCCATTTTTGTCAGTCGAGAGTATGGAAATCATGAAATACTTAGGAAATAGAAACAATAACACCTTCAAGTATAACTGTAAATTACCCCTAACAACACATTTCAAAGTTTGCAGCCGAAGCTAATTTGCTGTTAACTGTACTCACACAACTTTTTCGACAAGATAATGTCTTTCTTCGATTTCTACCCAGTATTCTTGAAGGAACCAGTTGTACCTATTTAAAAGGAAGGTGTTTAGGATAAAAATGTGTTACAAAATACACCCACCTTTTAAGCGCGGAATTGTGTAGAATTTGAATATGTTTCATCCATCCGTAATAGTACAATACTTCTCATACTCCTTTGGCTTACGCGAAAACCAAAAGAGAAATGCCGGGACGAAAATGCCGTTAACAAACGTACGACTCCGCTTCCGCTTCTTTGTCGCCGTGCCAACACACGAATTCTATTTTGGGCTACAGGGTTGGCTACAGGTGCTCCGTCCCAGGCGGCCGTACCAGGCCCCTTGCAAATACGTTCTCCAAGTGAGGCTTGCTTGTACCCAGTCATTGCTCTTATATGAAACGCATTCCAATGCACCCCTTGATGTCCACTGATGTTCACGCGTGCACGCTTGTAATCGTGCTTTTATCCAACATTTCCTGCGATTAATGAGAGAAGTACAGACACATACTTTTTTTTAGTGTGATATTACTTTATCATTAGCTTAAGCAGTGAACAGTGTTCTCAAGTTACGGGGAAAACCTTGATTACGCCGTATTTATTAAAATCACTTCAAGAATGGCTCTTCCGGTCATCAATACACGCTTGGAATGACTAATATTGGAAAGAGCATCGGTTATTCCTTTCACGGGAGAAGGCTGAAAATTGCAGAAGGATGACTGTTAAGTGAACTCAATGAAAATGTCTTATTTTGTCACCGTTAACCTAGGATCTCTGGAGCAAAGTAGTTGATGGTCTAACAAGTGAGTTTGTAAAAAAAGGTACAGGGAGATATCAATCCCCAGTTAAAAAAAAAAACAACAACGAAAAAACTCTATGACAGTTCAAGGCCTCACGTTAGGACATGGGGTTCGTATGTTAGGAACATACGGCGGTCCAAAAAGATTTATGGGCGGACTGATTGAACTGGTGAAGTACCTAAGGGAAATAACACCACAGGTGTACCTCAAGACATAGAGTCAAATGTATGGGACTGTATGACGTCATCAAGGAATATTTTATGCATAAATCACTAGATAGTGTAATGGAAGAGGAAGAGAAACAGGCTGGTGACAGCGGGAAATCTTTTCCAGTTCAATGTTATAATCTCGCTAGACAACTGGTCGATGAATTTGGATTTCAATTTGATGAACATAAAACCGACAAAGAATTTGTCAGTTTTTTGGGAGGCAAGAACACAATCTTGATTCGAAGATTTGTTTTCAGGGAATACTTTATTTCAAATTAATAGACTTGTAATACAAACTTAACTGAACGCATAATTCTAAATCACACAAAAATGGAATACAGTAGAACCTCGGTAACTCGACATCTGAAGGGAAACGA